AATTTCCAGAGTGGTTGGATTAGTGTTTTTCAGCTTCTCCGCGTGAACATACATGTGTGCGCGGAGGGCACATCGCTGGTTGCTGACAGGGGCAGCGACGAGACGACGACAATGATATTAAATTCGAGAGATGAATATAACGTCGTAGTCCAAGGCGCTTTACAATAATTATAAAATTGTACGTGAGACGATGGTGGTTAAAATAAAGAGTGGGGTTAATCAAAAGTGGTGGTGCAGCTATGGTGACAGTTAGGAGGACATGTGGGAGTGGTTAAAGGAGGGGTGGTGATAGGGGTAGTGACAGGGGTTGGGGTAGTGACAGGAATTGGGGTAGTGAGAGGGGTAGTAATAGGGGTAGTGATAGGGGTAGTAATAGGGGTAGTGGTATGGGTAGTGGTTGGGGTAGTGGTAGGGGTTGGGGCAGTGATAGGGGTAGTGATAGGGGTAATGGTTGGGGTAGTGGTAGGGCTTGGGGCAGTGATAGGGGTAGTGGTAGTGGTTTGGGTAAGCCTGGTCGTAGGGGTGTGGGGGACTGGGGCAGGGAGTCGCAGTAGCAGGATAGGCAAGGGAGACGAGATGGCTTTTTAAGGGGGCGAGCGAGACAGGGCGCAAGGCGCAGGGCGAGGGAGGCACACGCAGGGACGGTAGAGGCTGGAATGCCGAGGACGGAATGATGATGATGGTCGATTACAAGGCAGCCAGTATGCATACCAAACAGAGCTGTGATCCATTCATCCCGTGGTAATTATTAATATCACGCAGAGTAAGAGTAATTCATTTGTTTCGTTGATCGTACACAATGAATATTAAGTTTGGTGGAAATAAAAGCGAGATATTTGTTTTTGTGCCTCTTGAAAGACAACAACACGTTCTGACAACGCTAAAAAAAAACACCCGTGTTCTTTGTACATACGACTCGAGTTCACTGGATGACGCTTGACATTCTTACGCAGTCTATGTTATTAAAGCGTCAAAATTCGAGGCATACAAATAAATTGTGTGTATATTTTATACGAATGTAAAGCTCTATAACTTTGCAATAGCTGTAATTTCCTTTTGCTATACTTTCCAATTTTGTATACATACGATGAGCATAGTGTATCATTTTTTTGTTCTCGCTTTAGAATGAAGGTTGAAAGTGGCACATGCATTAGCTTTGTCTCTCTATCCGTCTTTCTGCCCGAATGTCTGTCACAATAATTGTCTTAAAGATGATCCAAAACGGATACAATTTATCATTCGAAGTTGGGTTGCTATGAATGATACAAACAAAAACTATGCCCTAAATATTCGAAAGCCTTTTCGGCCAATGTGAAGACGTCTCATGCTACAGACATCACGTGTGGCATCATGTCGATTTTGTGGCTTGGAAAGGGTAACGCCGTTGTTGCTAATTGAATACTTTAGAGGACAAGCAAATACAATACTTCCAATTTGTTGGAAAAGCCTGGCAGATTCCACGCACGTGCAATGCTTTTTTTCGTTCACCGTCCTTGTCTGAAATGCATTTACATTGAAATCGGAGATAGTGCAATGGAGCTACACATCACTCTGCAAGATGGGAAGGAGCCTGGTATCGTCGCAGCCTTTAATTTAGTGTGTTTAATTTTGTTCTCGATTGAGTTGTGTGCACGTCTTCAATTAAGGAACTGGAAAATTTATTTCCAACAAAGTGGCCGTCGCTCGCGACATTTTTTTCTCACCGTTCCACCAACTTAACCCAAAACCACCCGCTGTGGAAAAATGAAAACCGTTGAATGTGAACGGTGGCGCACTGACACTGGATTTTCATTTTTAAAAGCCACAGTAAGTCGGACACTCTAAAAACCTATTATGCTTGACAGGATAACATTACTATGTTTTTATTGGCAGATGCATTTTATGACGTTTTAAAAGTGATAGCTTTAGTTTCTTGGGTCGTAATTTATGTGGAAGTGACAGTCAAATACGCGCCTGCATGTATAGCATCGTGATGCAAATCCAAACGTGCGTTTAATCCACCGAACGTGCTGTTTGTGTGCACTTTGAGCAACTACCGCACGGTACAGAGGAAGGCAACCTCAACCCCTTACCCCGCACACCCCCCCCCCCCCCCCCCCCCCATTGAAATGAGAAAAACGAATTACGGTATTGTTTGGGCATTACAATAAAAAAAGCACCACATGCTGGCTAGAGACTCCATTAAGGAAGCCTGAGTTTCGTTAACCCTAACCCGAACTCAAATCACCCGGAAGCCAAGGCAGAATTGAGCCTGGATAGTGCTTGAATGGGTGACCGCCGTGCATAGCCTGGTTGCTGTAGACTGCAGGGAAACGCTGTGGGCAGCAGAGGGCAGCGCTGCGATATTGATTGTTGTACTCTACTTCTTTGCTCGCCTTGTCTCTGCGCCCCCCCCCCCCCAACTTCAGCAATCCACGCTGACGAGCACGGTGAAGCATCGGCTCTGCGCCTCCGAGCTTCCGAATCGTGAAATATGCACGCGCCGTAAATTGTTTATTACGATTGTCAAATAGCACTCACCCCCCTCCCGTGCTCCTCACGACCCAATGGACATGGGGAGGACTTCATCCAGCAGTGCATTGACAAACAGGGGTTCGAATGTATGCGTGAGTGTGTGTGGGTAGCGGTAGTGTAGCGGTTAGTGCGCTGCGCTACGAACCCGGCGTGCCGAGTTTGATGCCCGCTCACGGCCAACACCAGTGGCGATTGTCTGAATTGGTCCTGGGCCTCCCCTAGGTCGACTCAGCCTCAAATGAGTACCTGGTGCAGTGTGTAAAAACATCGCTACTGGTGAGACAAATGCGGTCGGCCGTGGTGTTGGCCACCCACCCCCTCGTGTGCCGTGCCGGCCTTCATAGTTGCTCGCTAACAGCACTTGCCTAAACCCTCTTTTAAGGCTATACGGGGGATCTTTGTCTTTGTGTGTGCAAAGAAATGTTGGTACGGTGGCATGCAAAAGGCACGAGCCAATGGACGCACGTGGGAGGTGTCACCCTGATAACCTTGCGCGGCTCTCGCTGAAACACGTGCCTCCCTGGCAGCACAAACGTTGATGAACATACTCCAGATCATCGATTATATCCACCGGCTTCGGCGGGGGGGGGGGCATCGGATTTTCAAAAACGCCGGATAATCAATACTGATCATGATTTAAAATAGCTTATTTTTACACAGTCTTGCATGACATGTTTTAGGTGTTGTTATGTTTGCGTGTTTTACATTTGTTAACTATGTGAAATTGGCATAAATAAATAAATATACAAATAGGCACAAATATCTATCCTATTTTAAAAAAAGTTACTGTATTTACTCCAACTTTTTACATTTACTCCAACCTTTTACATTGTATGTAGTGTATAATATACTGTATATAATATTCAACACTGAAATCATGCATAGCTACTTTTTATTAATCATGCACATGGTGCCGATCGACGGACCAGGACAGCATTTGGAGCGGTTTTGCCAGAGCGATTTTGCCGGATCGGCCTCGGACCGCCGGATAATATTGGAAGCTGGAAAATCGATGATCAACTGTATTTCCATTGAAAGTCTTTCACGGACAATCGTACCCCACACCCACACAGATCTGGGACACGCCATCCGTAAGCTCGGCAGTGAATTTATGGCCGATTGCCGTCGGGGTTCCGTGGCTTGCATGAAAAGAATGGCAGGTGTCTTCAAAGGGGACGGACGGATTGATGATATTGGACCGGGCCTGACTCTGCTGATGAATCTCTAAAAGTCCAAATTCGTTTTCCACAACCAGCGCTGCTGGAAAACATGGGTCCTTCCTTATGCTGGTGGAAGAAAATGTTATTTAATTGTACGTGGAAAAAACGGACTTTTCTGTTTCTGATTATCGTATTTTACCCAAAAAATATGTAGCCATCCCCGTGAGGATTCGCTGTTGCACTCTAGAGCTCTCTGGCGAGTTTCCGGATTGTTCCGCGCGTCGCTCGGCAACGATGTCTAGAAGAAGCTTCCAGCACGTGGGGCGAAACGTCAGACGTCATGCCGAACAACGCATGGCACGACCGCGAAAACTCATCCCAGAGCTAACGGATCGTCATCGATCCAAATCCCCTGAATGATGCGGCATTTCAGGTGCATGCTTTGTGGCATCTTCACGAAACATCCCCCCCCCCCCATCACCTGTAATAGACTGTTGGGGCAAGTGCTCTTAGCGAGTAGAACCTATGATGGGGCTGCACGGCACACACGAGGGGGTGGTTGGCCAGCACCTCGCCCGGCCGCCGTTGTCTCCCTCAGTGCCAATGTTTACATAGTGCAACCGCTACTCATTTGAGGCTACGTCGACCTAGTGGAGGCCCAGGACCGGTTCAGATATTTCCCACCGGCATTGTCCATGAACGAGGATCGAACTCGGGTCGCCGGGTTCTCAGCGCGGGGCGCCAACCGCTTCGCCACCGCTCGCCCACTGTGCTCACCGCCCACCACCGCCTGCACACTCGTGCGTTGCGGACCATTTGTGGGTGTCCTCCAAGCTGCCAGACGAAGGGTCACGATTATGCCGTCAAGCGGGGACTTTCAGCGAGCCAGCGAGCGAGTGAGCGGGCGAGCGAGCGAGTGGGAGGGCGACTCTGGGCTGAGTTTAGCCTCCTGCTCGTCTCTCCCTAATGCTTAGGGGCACGTGCGTGACCTTTCCAATTTGCACTCGCACCAGGGCACAGGACCTGCATTTCATTCCTTTGCTCCCCCTATCCTTAGATTTTATCGTCTGCCCTTGGGGATTCTCCAACGAGTCACCGCCGCCGATATTGCCGGGAATGCCTCGAATTAAACGAGAAAACAACCCGGAGGAGAGGGACGAAGCGATTCGGGCGAGATCATTACGACCGTCCCTTCGCCGCGGCTCACTCGGCCTAATTCATAGGTGCGACTCGCTCGCACCAACTTGGCCGCCTAACCCCCCCCACCACCGCCCTCCCTCCAGCTCCTCTACCGTGCCCCCCCCCCCCCCCCCCCCTGTCGCGCAGGGCATCAGCGGCCTCTTCAGCTCGCTCAAGGTGGTGCGTCTGCTGCGGCTGGGTCGCGTGGCGCGCAAGCTGGACCACTACATCGAGTACGGCGCCGCCGTGCTTGTGCTGCTTGTGTGCGTGTTCGGCCTCGCCGCGCACTGGCTCGCCTGCATCTGGTACAGCATCGGCGAGTTCGAGGTGGTGGACGAGGAGCGCCGCAGCATCCGCACGCACTCGTGGCTCTTCCAGCTGGGCCAGAGCGTGGGCCAGCCGTACCGGCTAAACGCCAGCAATGGCACGCAGTGGGAGGGCGGGCCCTCCAAGCGCTCGGTCTACGTGTCGTCGCTCTACTTCACCATGACGAGCCTCACCAGCGTGGGATTCGGCAACATCGCGCCCACCACCGACGGGGAGAAGATCTTCGCCATCGCCATGATGATGACCGGATGTGAGTGCCCAAACGCGTGTCCCGGCCCGTGCCCTCCTCCCCCACCGCCTAACCCATACCCCCCTCCAACTATGCCCCCTTCAGCTGCACCCCCTGCCCCCCCCCTGCTCCCCCCTGCCCCCCGACGGCTTGTGCCAAAACGCAGTCGCCAATATCCAGGATCCCGCCCACGCACTCGGTTTAGACGCACGTGTTGTGGCTGCGATGATGCATTTAGCGAGAATTGGAGGCAATGTCGCGCACCCTCTGCGCAATGTCAATCCTTAACGCGCGAACGTATGCAACAGCACGCTGCGTTGCATTTTTTGAATGACATTAGCGGTGTGATTGTGTTTGCTATCTTGCCAACGTCGTAAAAATCCACGATAATGCGAGCCCGTGGCTTCACCGTACTCCGTGGACAATACGATTAGTTTCCTCCACGTATGGAATTGTGGGCGGGGGGGGCGGGGGGGGGTGGGGGGGGGGTGGCTGTAGTGGCAGACGGCGTGCTGCACTGTGAGCCCGGCGACCCGAGCTTCACTTTCTTTGGGCGACGGCTACAAACATCAGTGGTGATGTGGTCCTGGGTTCCTTCATCATCAGGCAATGGTCATGGTCAAAAACTTTCATCACCGACAAGCGTGGGGAGGTGGGGGGGGGGGGGCTTCATCCAGCAGTGTTTTAAGATAGGGATGTAAATTCTTATTATTATGAATTGGTGAACCTTTGCATCCCTTCCAGAATGAAAATTTCAGCATGGATTCATTTTTTGTCACGTGTTTTATTCCTTGCATACACTGTACTTTCAAAAATACAACACAGATGTCTTCATGGCTTTTGGCTAACTATTTGTACAACGCACGCAACAACACAATAATTATTGACATGAAAAACTGAGCACATGCACAAACCCCCACCCCAACAATTGGACTGTGTCATTTGCCTCGTAGAATTGCTCGTACGGCTCCAGCTGTGCTTATCGCCAATGCAGTCCTCACATTTATAAACATTAACGTAGCAATTGCGCCCCTTGACACATCCTTTGCAAACGGCGCTGGCAAGGTGAGCAGTAATTAAGACAAACTGATCTAGGATTGTGGGAGAAGTGGTTCCATTTGAACGTGCTAATCAGCACTACCCACGCGATCATCATCGTTACAAAGTAATGTTTCTCACGTTGAGTCAGATCCCCACATGCTCGGGTAATGTACGCGATTGGAGGGATCGGTGTAGAATGGGGCTGTACGCAGAGCAAGTAAGGTGTAAGGCAGGCGCTCGTCTACATTTTACTACCTCGGATAAATATCTTAGAGGATTTCGATTTAAAGCTTTCGTGACTGCAAGGATTCATCTTCTTTGGTTCTTTCGGTAAAGTCACGTAGAGAATAAAATAATAAATTGATAAAATAAAATAACACAATAATATTCTCACGACGTTTCGGCCACAACACAAGCAGCTTTCATCAGGTGAAGGGGACGAGACTGTCTGTTATTTTATTTTATCAATTTATTATTTTATTCTCATTCTACGTGACTTTACCGAAATAACCAAAGAAGATGAATCTTAGAGGATTATAATTGATAGTACGAATTGTCCACCGCCTTTCACCTGTGTCCTCTCGTTTAATTGTGCAAGAAAAACCACCCCATGGATGTTAACAGTTGCCCTAACGATCGCTCGCCATTGTATCAATCAATCTAAAGATTCGTAACGCGTGACCGTTTTCAGCAAACAAAAAAAAAAACCTTGGACGTAATCACGGGTGGCACTGGCAAAATTAAACTCAATGAAACTAGACAGAGGAGAAAATAAATGTTTTTAGTTCGCTCTTAAAAGACACCGATTGTCGCAGCTGACCAGATTTCAGTTGGCAGATTGTTCCAGACCACCGCGGGCTGGTAAATATAAAGAAGACAGGCTCGGATTATATTGCGCAAAAGTTTCCCAGATTTAACGGGCACGGTTTTAGTTTTGCCCCGCAGATGGATTAACAAAAAAAATATATATATATTTTATGTGAGTGGCATGAACAAATCTCCTTTATCTGACCAGGTGTGCACTCTGTTCCTGAGATTCAGTGTTGCTTTATGGATAATATCTATGGTCAAATTGACATCTAAGATATAGCACTGAGATGCCATGCCTTAAATGTTCGTGTTTTGCCATCAGTGGTGAGGGAAAACCAAAATGATTGGCGTTAAGCTGTTAAGCCAGTGTTAAATCTACAAACGGTCAATAATCACATGAGAAAGGTGGCTATAGCAGCTCCGTATCCAACTTTGTAGCTGTTGGAGCTGTTGCTCTGCATGCTGTACTGCTCGGATCTCTGATTAGCACGTTGGGCTACGTACGGTGCAAAATACTAACGTGGACGGATGACATAGCCCTATGGGCAGTGTACAAATGTCCTTATAACAGGCCCTGAAATGCAAATAAAAATATATAAAATGGTATGAATTTGAATTAATATAATGCTCAAAGTACTGAGGGCATCTTAAGATGGTGCATAATACAAGCAATATGAACATGAATGGCACCTACAGACAACGGTAACAATACAAACAAAATGAAAAAAATATAAAAATGAGTCAAAGTAAATAAAATGTGGCATCTCAAAATATTAGCCTAATGCACATTTGTAATTACGCTCAATAATGATTGTGTTATTTTACCCAAAGATTATTTTCATCTCGGTACGAAAAAATCAGGCTTCCAAACGCTTCGCAAACTCACTGAACTGAGGTTTTTTTTGTTTGTTGTTACAGTATTTCAATAAGTAAAACAAATTTACTTATTTTTCCAATTTTCATATCAACATCAAATAAATTATGGTGTGGAATTCCAGTGGCATGTTGCAAAGCAACTATTTCCAGGGCTGCAAGTAAGGCCCGCAAAAACATGAGGGATTATGGTTATAATGGCGAGTGTTATGACACGGAGATCAAAAATATCTTGACAACAGACGGCACATGATTTACTATACCCGGAAGGATCTGCTCCATTATGCCCACGTGTGCTTGCTGTGCGCCAGTTCTGCAGGCGATGATAATCTGACATTAATGCCTGAACTGCCAATCTCACGAATTTCCAGATAATTGCGTATGTGACAGGCTAAAGGCTCTGCCCGCATGTAATGCAATTCGCCAGCGATGTGCATCGTTTAAGCAAAATGGGGGAGGTGGGGGGGGGGGAAGGATGGGAAGTTATGGGCATCAGAACAATCTGTTTGAAAAATGACTGCGAGGCAAGCCATTATTTTGTACAAAACAAATAAATAAACGTCGTCTTTGGTTGTTAAATCAGTTTGGTATTTATTTTATGAATGGTAGTCAACTCAAAATTAAGCCCACAGCCTTTCACTTTCAGCTTTACGAGTGCCACTAAAAAGCCGGCTGGTTTTTTTTTCGTGAGCAAAACGTAAAAACTTCACAACCGTGGACTATATATTTTTTTACAGAGAGATTATTCGGCACACAGCGCTGGCGCAGCTGCAATATAATTTATAGAGAATGGTCCACACCTGTAAAGAGCATTCTACCATAAAAATGAATAATACCCGGCCATGCAATTATACAACATTGGCGACATTTAATAAACACAGCGGCTGGTATCGTGAAGGCTCCATTGACAGTGGCGCTGTGACCCAAATAAATCTGAATTCCAAATTCAAAAACAATTTGCAAAAAGAATTAGGTCAGATTGTTATTTTATCTTAAATGTCGTTGATATTTTACCTTGCACAATGCATGGTTCACTTGAGTGTAAAACCATTAGAAAAAGCAGTGGAGTGCATCGTGAGAGTAAATTATATTACTCTCTGTTTGTGCCTTGGTAACAATTAATTTTCTGTGTGAATGGCCACGGTGAACACCGGTGAAATAAAATCCGCCCTGACTTCACAGCCATTATACCGCAAATTTTGAAAGCCTGTGTTGAAGAAAATATATTAGAATGACCGTTGCCTAGGATTTTTTTTATTTTAATGCTGCTCAGTTACCCTAAGTATGTCTTTACAATCCTACAATGATTGCATATTTCATAGCAATTCATCCAAATTATATACTGGAACTAGTGCCACATAGTTTTTCTTAGTTGAAGCATTAAGTCATTTTTTTACATTTCATTAGTTTAAACCAGATGCTCAAATGTCACGAGTAAATGGCCTCAGTCCAATGACTGCAGAAAAACCCCCTATCATATTAAACTTAGTTTTGTACTTAATTTGTCTAAATCGCAGCTTTCAGAAGTACGAAATATTGGTTTGGTTGCTCGATAATAAATACTGCTCTCTGTAGCCTGCTGCATGGAAAAGTGATGCCTAGAGCATGGATAGGTCAATTGAAGAGATTTCAGAAGCAATTCTGTGGTATTTCCTTCTGCGAAACCATTCTCTAACCCGGTGATGCACTGCTGTGTGAGATTTATGAATGCATTCATCTCACGCCACAATGCTGATCGCGCAATCAGGATAACAAAAAAACTGTGGGGGGTAGGGGAGGGGAACGCACGAAAGAAAATAAAATATAATTAATTTCACATATTTGTCGTCTTGACGATGATGCATATGGTACACGCAACACAATATTTAGAAACTAATCCAGTCTGTACATGTATTATTTCGCGATAATGCTCAGCCGCGGAAGCGTGCGCTGTTGTGCCATTACCACGCACACTCCGTTGGCTGCATTCAAAGTGGCGTAACACGGCGGTGCGCAAGGCTACTTCTTACTCACACGGGTCACCCCAGGTTGTGTCCGGGCGGTACTGCGCTGCCTTTTTTTTGTGAAATATTACCTCTTAGTGGGGAGAGGCAGGCTCACCGAGGCTGCGGCGACACCATACCCGCCCGCAACAAAATGTCAATACTGTGTGCCAAAGCAGAGACCTTGCTCGGATCACGTCCAAACTGCGGAGGAGTTCTCAAGAGATTCTGCCCGCGACTGTGCAAGCGCGCGCCGTCGGGCGTCCTGTGAAACGGGCAGCCATTCGGAGACACGGGGGCGCGTCACCGTTCCTC